ATTACAGTCTTTTTTTAAACTTATTAATACTCTCAGACGTTAATTAATTTTTTTTAAAAAACGTATACAATTTTTATTCCTTAATTACAATCTTTAGAAAAAAAAATGTTAGTCAGTTTATTATTTTATTATTCTAATCTAATTAGAGATCAAAGCTACTAAGGACCATGGAAACTACGGTTATATAAGTGGTCTTTAATTGTGTTAATATACAAGATACCGAATTAATTAGTATAAAAAACATAGAAATACAATACCGATTTACATTATTTACAACAAATTAAGAGTAATTAAGAAAATTTCACATGTGACAGCTGGTGTTTATATTCTAATCTATATTCCAAAAAGGTTGACCCCATTTTTTGTCATTGAGCATTAAAATAAATACTGGTAAACGATAATGTTGGCGGCGATTATAATGTCAAAATTAATACAAATTTTTATCCTCCATCAACATACTCAAAGAACGCATCAAGCCTATTAATATCGTCATGGTAACAATCGATATAAACACAAAAATACGAATAATTCATTCATTCGTTATAAGGAGAGTTTATTAGCAGTTACTTTATACGGTTTAATGCAGTAAGAGTTGAAGGTAGATTTTACTAGCTATACGACACTTGTAGCGCAATTCGAGTAGGCTAAGACGGAAGACAGAACAGAACGACCGTGAGTAGGCCTATATACTTTATATAGCAAAATATATTATTCATTATTGCACATACCACCACAATTAAAATACATCCAATACTGTACATATAAATAACTAAACGTAGTTCGATTCGACTTTTGCTAAACATGTGTAGAAAACAATCACAAATTGTGTAGAGAGATATTCTATTACACTAAGGATTATTAGCATCAGTTATAATAGTAATAGTAGTAATACTAATATTAATAATATTAATAGCAATAACAATTATATTAATATCAATAATAATAGTAATAATAATAATGGTAATAATAATAGTAATAGTAATAATAGTAGTAGTAATAATAATAGTAATAATAATAATAATAGTAATAACAATAGCAATGGTATTAATAGCAATAATAAGGGTAATAATAATAATAATAGTAATAATAACAATGGTAATAATAATAATAATAATAATAATAATAATAATAATAATGGTTATAATAGTAGTAATATAATTATTCAAATATTAATACTTATAACAGTAACAATAATAGTAATTATATTAATAACATTAATTAATAGACAATAATATTAATAGTAACAATATAGTAGTAGTAATAGCATTATTAGTAATGGTAATAGGCCTAGTACTAATCAATATCGGTCTTATAGACATATAGCACATCGTGCTATGGCCTCCCATGGTAATTGGTTTATAGGCCAAATAAATTACAGTCTTTTTTAAAACTTATTAATACTCTCAGACGTTAATTAATTTTTTTTAAAAAACGTATACAATTTTTATTCCTTAATTACAATCTTTAGAAAAAAAAATGTTAGTCAGTTTATTATTTTATTATTCTAATCTAATTAGAGATCAAAGCTACTAAGGACCATGGAAACTACGGTTATATAAGTGGTCTTTAATTGGAGGGAGACTTATATTATCAGGATTCCTTTACAAAATGAGAAAATTTATTATACAGCGTTATACAACAAAGTCTTAAAGAAAGCAGATATATGTAAATAAGTTCATCATATAGTGCTAAATTAATCCGACATCCAAAGAAATTTAATTAGGCCTAGTACCTTTAATTGTATAAAAATAAATTCACAGAAAACATTACCAGAATTAGAACAATCATGAATTTTTACAAATCCTTAAATTTCAAGTATTTTCCCTCCTTTTTCAAATCATTCATAGTTATTCATAGTTATTTTCAAAATATATGTTTTATTGTTTCCATTTTTATTACAGGAAGAACAGGTTAAGTTGTTTTGACGTCAATCTTACAGTCAAAATCACAGAAGATAATGGCATCAGACGCTGCCAATGAACACGAGGAAGACGACACACAATCTAATATAATCTACTGCACGTTTTGCAAACAACGATTCCGGAACCCAAGAACGCTACCTTGTCTACATACATTCTGTCGGAAGTGTTTACGATCCTATCTGGACGATTTGGACGGCTCGGAACCAGTCTGCACTATATGCGGCGCTGTTTTCTCTGGTTCAGATAAAGCCATTGAAGGCTCAAAAAAAGATATTCTCATTCAACGTCTTCTTGAGTGCGACAGAGATCAGCTGGAGAATCAGTCATGTTCTCTATGTAGCAGTGATGCGACAGAGAAATGTTTTCATTGTAACCATTGCTTGTGTGAGCGCGATGCAGAGCACCATAGTAAGATACCTTTAATGGCAAACCATACAGTGGTGAGTCTGAAAGAATACCGACGCATGTCAGCATTGGAACGACTGTCTCTCCATCCGACAAAGTGCTCAGTGCACGAGGACTATATTGTGGAGTACTTTTGTTCCACCTGTGATGCACCTGTGTGTATAAAGTGTACTTTGGATGACCATGATCGTACGGATCATAATTTGCACACCATGAATGAAGTAATTGAGACAGACAAGAAAGAGCTTAGTGAAGAACAATCGTTTGTTTCTACACAATACGATAAACTTACCAATGCTGAGAAGAAAGTTTTAGAAACTAGAGACACGCTTGTAGAAGCGAAGACGGAGGCAATAAAGACGATAGAAAAGCGATCAAATGATCTAAGAAAACAAATTGACGAGTTGCAGAAAGAATTAGCTGACGAGATAACTGAGAAATACAAATTATATTAATAACAATAATTAATAGACAATAATATTAACAGTAACAATATAGTAGTAGTAATAGCATTATTAGTAATGGTAATAGGCCTAGTACTAATCAATATCGGTCTTATAGACATATAGCACATCGTGCTATGACCTCCCATGGTAATTGGTTTATAGGTCAAATAAATTAGTCTTTTTTTTAAACTTATTAACTCTTAGACGTTAATTAATTTTTTTTTACAAGAAACGTATACAATTTTTATTCCTTAATTACAATCTTTAGAAAAAAAATGTTAGTCAGTTTATATAGTTCCCATGTTTTCATAATTTAAGGTAACTTTCAATTTATGTCAACTTTCCTGCCTTTCTTTAATTAGAGTACAAGTCTCCCTCTAATTAAAGACCCCTCCAATTAAAAATCACCTCCGATTAAATACCACTTTTCTGTGGTCTTGATTTAACAAGTGTCTTTTATCTTTATTATTCTAATCTAATTAGAGACCAAAGCTGATAAGGACCATGGAAACTACGGTTATATAAGTGGTCTTTAATTGGAGGGAGACTTATATTATCAGGATTCCTTTACAAAATGAGAAAATTTATTATACAGCGTTATACAACAAAGCCTTAAAGAAAGCAGGATATATGTAAATAAGTTCATCATATAGTGCTAAATTAATCCTAACATCCAAAGAAATTTAATTAGGCCTAGTACCTTTAATTGTATAAAAATAAATTCACAGAAAACATTACCAGAATTAGAACAATCATGAATTTTTACAAATCCTTAAATTTCAAGTATTTTTCCTCCCTTCTCAAATCATTCATAGTTATTCATAGTTATTTTCAAAATATATGTTTTATTGTTTCCATTTTTATTACAGGAAGAACAGGTTAAGTTGCTTTGACGTCAATCTTACAGTCAAAATCACAGAAGATAATGGCATCAGACGCTGCCAATGAACACGAGGAAGACGACACACAATCTAATATAATCTACTGCACGTTTTGCAAACAACGATTCCGGAATCCAAGAACGCTACCTTGTCTACATACATTCTGTCGGAAGTGTTTACGTTACTATCTGGACGATTTGGACGGCTCGGAACCAGTCTGCACTATATGCGGCGCTGTTTTCTCTGGTTCAGATAAAGCCATTGAAGGCTCAAAAAAAGATATTCTCATTCAACGTCTTCTTGAGTGCGACAGAGATCAGCTGGAGAATCAGTCATGTTCTCTATGTAGCAGTGATGCGACAGAGAAATGTTTTCATTGTAACCATTGCTTGTGTGAGCGCGATGCAGAGCACCATAGTAAGATACCTTTAATGGCAAACCATACAGTGGTGAGTCTGAAAGAATACCGACGCATGTCAGCATTGGAACGACTGTCTCTCCATCCGACAAAGTGCTCAGTGCACGAGGACTATATTGTGGAGTACTTTTGTTCCACCTGTGATGCACCTGTGTGTATAAAGTGTACTTTGGATGACCATGATCGTACGGATCATAATTTGCACACCATGAATGAAGTAATTGAGACAGACAAGAAAGAGCTTAGTGAAGAACAATCGTTTGTTTCTACACAATACGATAAACTTACCAATGCTGAGAAGAAAGTTTTAGAAACTAGAGACACACTTGTAGAAGCGAAGACGGAGGCAATGAAGACGATAGAAAAGCGATCAAATGATCTAAGAAAACAAATTGACGAGTTTCAGAAAGAATTAGCTGACGAGATAACTGAGAAATACAACTCAAAAGTTGATGTTCTTGACAAACAACTGGATGACATGGATCGTCGTATGAATGAGCTGGACAAGGCATCGTCATACATCGACGCATTGCTGCAATGCAATAATCCAGAGGTGTTCCTGTCTGCCAGTAAAAAATGGTACGAACAATTCAAAGAGAAGAAACCAGATTACAAAGACGTTGAACTTGAGCCGGCTGAGAACGCGTACCTACGAGTCGAGGTTGATGAGAAGCCTATAGACGAGGTTGTCAACTCAGAAATTATCTGCACTGTCTTCTGCACATCTGCATCCGCATGCCATTCCCAACTCAACGGCTGTCCAGAGGAAGCAGAAATCGGATCAGAGGTCAAGTTCAGTATAATAATTAAAGATAAAGAGGACTCAAAAGTCGCTCTCAGTGGAACCTCACCAAATGTGGAGGTAATGAATCCCAATGACCATAAGACAGCTCTGAAGGGAGAAACATCCTCAGAAAGTAAGTTCAAGTACGAGTGGTGTCCATCGTCTCTTGGTAAGCACACACTAGTCGCTCAAGTTTTTGATGTTGACGTGAAAGGCTCACCGATGGTTATAAATGTGGTCCCAAAGAATAGCAAGGATCAGCAACAGCAGAAAAACAACAGCGCCCGCTCACAGAAGAAACCGGGATCGGGGACAAAGTCATCGAAATCTAAGCAACCTGAACCACGAAAAGCATCATGGAAAAAGTAATTGTAAAACTGAAAGGAGAGGGAAATTTTAATCAAACTTAGGTCTGAGAGTGCCATTTCTAGATCTAGATTAATCTAGAAGTGCCATAATCATACATGTTCTTACCTCAGCCCCAACAACGGCCTAACTCTCATCAGTGTCAAAAATCCCCTCTCTGGGACCCTCTATTTCGAATTACTGGACACTGTGAACCGAGAAATATTGTTTTCAAGAGCCAATCCCCGTGACTGCTTTGGATATACGTATAGATTATTTTGTTATGTAAGTTTATGTATTTTACGCACAAAACATGCAAAATGTTTTGTATAGACGCTTTTGTTCACTTTTATATATAGCCAGTATTATATATATATTTTTAGTTGAAATGATTGTTTTCTAAATTTAGAATTCGCTTTTTGTCGATGTTTTATTTTATTGGTATCGAAAGAAGTACTTTATTGAGTAATCAATAATTCCAGTAAAGTTAATCATCGGCCGCAAACTCTAATCTCCTAATTACAGACGCATTGACATAACTATCGATCCAATGATCCAAGCCACTTACTGGATAACGACGAATGAAGATTGTTATTATACGTAATACGAGAAAGGGAAGGGGAGTTGTTAACAGTTATCGTCAATAAGATGAATCGATAGAAATTGGGGCAGATGCAGGGGGGTGAGGGTGCAGAGGGTACGATCGCACTCCCCCCCCCCCTTAAATTTTATTAAGAAAAATAATTGTTGTATTATATTGTTGATATGAATTATTGGTAAGATTTTCAAGGTACATGAGAGTGCAATTTCCGGGCACCCAGAGGTCCATATTCTCAACTTTTTCGCACCTCAGCTCTAACCATGTTGGGACTGAGGTGGTGGACTCTCACGCAAACATGGGCGCAGATCATGGGGGAAGGGGTTAACGTCCAGGGGTAGCACAAGGATTTGCCCGATGGTTGGTCCCAGGTCCCGAGGGGGAGCCGATGTCTCCGACGAGGGGAAACATTTCCCCGACGAGAACAAAGTGGGTGTGGTCAAACGTCATTTTAAAGGACTCGAAAGTGATCTAGGGGCGAAGCCCCCGAAACTTCGACAATTTAGGTGTTTCAAATGCTTATTCAATCGATTTAGAGTCTACTAATATGTACAAAATACTTACAATTTTTTTTCTCCTCGATAAATTGTGGTTTTTCTTCCCGACGGGGTGTGGGGGGGGGGAGCTCTCCCCGACGAGGGGGCATGGCCCCCGGTCCCCATGCTGGCGCCACCCCTGTAAACGTCCCCTCACATATTTTTTAAGGGGGAGGGGTTTTACATCTTATTTTATAGCAAGATACCTGTGTCTCTGCCCACAAACATCTGAATTACCTATAATACTCGACTCGAGTGCGCGTGCCTTTATTATAATTTGAGAAGTATGAGAAAAAGCGTGCAAAAATAAGATTGGGTTTCGGCAAAGAATATAGATAGATGAAGAAACGAGCAGCGAGCCCAAAATCGTGAAATCAACCGAATTGCATGATTGAAGGGGGGGGGGGGGCAGTGGAGTAGGGCGCCGTGTATAAAAACTTCCCCTAGGTTATTCATAGGCTACTATAGATAGTTTTGACCTTATTAGGTATTTATTAATTATTCTAGGTTTATCTATTCTTGTTCGTATAGCTTAGACCTATATGTATGAGAATTGGATAGGCTAGGCCAGGCCCCTAGCTTTTAAATAAAAAAGGAACATGTACTCTACAGTTCTTAGGTGTAAACTAGATCTAAAGTACTAAATAGAGGTCTACTTCTAGACTTCTAGGCGAGGCTAAAACAAGGCCTAATGATTACTGTAGATTAATCATTATATTCTAATGATTATTATTATTATTATTATTACTGTATTATTATTATTATCATCATCATCTGATTATGTTATGTAAAATATAACAAAAACGAAAATATGTTTATTAGAATTTTAAATTTGAATTTCATTATTAATATTATTATTGTTTACTCATTATTATTATTATTATTATTATTATTGATCATCATCATCATCATTATCATCAATATATTTTTGATTGTTATTAGTGTTACAACAACTAGGCCCATTAATATTTGTATTATTATTATTATTAAAAATAACATTTAATAATTTTTCCAACCTAGTTAGGATCAATCTTTATGATATGCATTATTAAAACAATTTACAAATATACGTACTGCTACATTTCAACCCTAATGAAATTATTCGAATTGTAATTTTATTATTATTATTATTATTATTATTATTACTATTATTATTTTTTTTTTATTCTGTGAACAGAAAACTAAACATAATAACGAAAGAGGACTTTCTCTCCTTTTTTAGTCAAAGTTGTGGCTGGTTGGAGGGGGAGTAACCCCCGTCTCCTCGCTGGGGGCGTATACTGCTGTATAACCATAGTCATATGGTTCAGGTAGTAATGAATTTTGCTTGTTATCTTGGTTGTAATAATTGTCATATGAAGCATGTTCTGTGATGCATCCTAAAAAAGTTGCTAAACATAATACTGTACCTAAATAAATTATGAAAATTAAAAAAGTCTTTTAATCAAAGAAAAACAGCTTTTCCAGTGTATCAACAGTATAGAGGGCGCTATAGTATTTTATAGCGTGCTGTAGAACTCATTACATTTTAGAGTCTGGTCTACCCTAGTTATTCATAGATTTGTTGCGGTTTTATGGTTTTTCTCTTCCATTTTCCATTGTGTTATAGATTTAACATCTTGACATATAAGTTATATAATTGTATATATAATTACTGTGTCATACATTATGAATATTGCATGTTAATTTATCATATCAGACACCTCATGCGAACCTCCATTGTTTCTATCGCACAAACAACTTCCCTCACAAAGCTTAAAAAGCAAAATAATTCGCGCCGATGCGATTTTATGTAGATTGCAACGCCACTGAAAATCAGCAGACGTCGTTACATCGTCTCGCGCTCACAGGGAGAGTTGGATTCGTTCGTTGTCGCAGTGAGAGGCCAACTCAGACAATTTGTTGTTGCATCGGGTCTGTTTGAGTTAAACACAGTCGAGTTGTAGGTTATCAAACATGTTTAATATTTAAGACTGTCCCCACGATGAATCGCGGCGTTGGGCTTTGTCGTACGACGCTCTCTGAATTGGCCTTTTTACTCACGAATATAACGCCACAAAAACACCGCATAGATCCACACATTCTCAAAAGAACAAGTCGAACAAAAAGAAGCTGACAAAGAACATATAGTTTGTAAACATTTATCGGAGATAAAGTATACAGTGAATATAGGCAAGGCAAACATATATACGAAATGTATGCTTTAACATCTATTTACATATCATTACAATGAAACAGCTACTATAAAAACAGTTAAATTTCAACAAAAATACAAAAATTTGTACACAAATATTCCATACATTTTTACTCTCTTCTCTAAAATATATTCAGTTAATGCTTCGTTTAATCTTTTAACTATAGAGGGCGTAATACCTATTTTGCATAATATTCACATAGGCAATTGAATATGCTAATATCTGAGTTGATTGGAGATATTTTAATAATTCACTATTGTGAACAATAATATCGTTTCTTTTCATTTAAGAAACACCTATCAATAATTTCCTTTACAGTATTTTATTTATTAATTAAAAAAAAAATACTAAAAGTTAAGCTTGACATTATATTGTAAAATTACAATTATCTATTTTATTTAGAAATACACAATTCCTTTGAAAAGAATAAAATATATAAAAATGATTATACAGAAGGCTTTGTGTTATGTTTTATACTCGCTGATGCTTAATAACGATACAAAAATTGAAGAACGATATCGCAAACATTCATTAGAATGGAAATCTCCATTATTGTTTCACATTACAAAATACAGCATGGCTCTTAATTATTTGCTTTCATTCCTTTGAAATTGTTGAAAAAAATATTGATATCTATAAAATTATTAATTATCAAAAAATGGATATATGATAAAACATTTACAGGCAAGATATATGTTTCATAATAATAATGTTTTGTTTATTTACATTTTTACATTTTGGCTACAAAATCGGAAAATCAGCTTAATATACTTACTGTACATATGGGTCGTTTATCGATAATTTAATTAATCAGATTTATATAAAATGAATTTAATTGAATTACTACAATTTAAGCAGGAAATTTACAATTAATGCAATAGGATAATTATTCTATTTATGAAATGAAAAACAGCGGGGTGCTCTCCAATGATTAGAACCAGTTGAAAGCTTGAGTTGTATGATTACCCTGTGAAAACAATCTCAGTTTTGATAATACTATAAATAATGTATATACAGTATAGGAATAGTCTGCTGATATATTGTATGATTGCCTAATATTACAACATTTATCATCATGCCATCACATCACCTCGACATCACATCACCTCTTATACTTTTCCTAGTTGTCTGCTTCAAACTAATGGTTTTCTTTCCCTGAGACGTGGCTACTATATAATATGTATAACTATTGTTTAAACCGCTACGGTATAATTATAATAATATGGAAACCAAACATGCATCCATGCTGGCACAGATTTTCAAACCACATATTTATCATCACAATTTCATCACATAATCATTAGTGATAATAAATCATTGTGACTAATCATATGATCACTTTAGTTCGGTTTAGCTGGTTCATGTGATTAATCATAACATTAGCTGGTTCATCATGATCAAATTAGCTGGTTTAGCTGGTTATATTCATCACATAATCATTAGTGATAATCAATCATTGAGAATAATCATGTGATCACATTAGTTGTGTCATTGATTAATCATCATATTCGCCGCTTCATATCACATGATAGCAAATCATTCAATGCTTTCTACTTTATTTAGTAATTAATGTCCTATGCATACAAAAATTAAGTAGAATAGTTTTGCATATTAGCACCTTAGAAGTCATATTCATGTATTTACCTAAATTACTGAATACATGTTCAAGTAGTTCGATTTTTAAATACATATAAATGAATAAAATCATAACATTTCAGTCAATAAGCAAAAATCAAAAATAACCGCCCAATATTGAGGTAGTTCGATCCTTCAACTAGTTTCATCAGTGGCCAATCATTTTACTGATAGACAACAATGAATTTCCAACAACCAATTAATAAAATCTACACATAAGATTCTTCGGTGAACACACAGTTACCAAAGTCTTCCATGTAGCTACCAGAGTCTGTGCTTCCTTGTTGCCGGGACTTAAAACCCTGCCGTGCATGTAAGGAGGAATCTTTGCTTCCATCTTTACTAACATGGATCCCGTTTATAGGGTTACTACTTCCACGATAATCAGTTTTTTTTGGGAAGTATTTTGTCTGCGGGCTCAGTCCAGAGTCCGTGGAATAAGTGGAACTGTTTGAACTCAGCCTATTAGGGTTTCGTTGAACAGGATAAAAATGGCTTGAGCTAGACTGCTGCAAAGTGTTATTAACGCCCTTTGTTTTTGTTGAGTCAAAGACACCCTCCTGTCCGTAAAACAAGGAAGACACAACCTGTGGAGTTTCTGTATCTTTGTTTTTACGGTCTGATACCAGATCAGGCAAGTCTTTGTCTCCTGCAGAGTCACTATAACTCCTGTGCAAAAAAACAGCTTTCCTCTCTTCCTCAACAATATCTTTTATGACACGATCACTACCGCTCCGATGGACATGTGGAGCCTGCAGTCCATTTCTATCCCAAGATGCATCAGCCATACGCAAGTCCTCTGCACTGATGGTTCCACTTTCGCTGGACTCTGAATCAGATTCATGGTATAAAATTCCACCCTCGTAGCGTGCTGAGAATTTATCTGCACTGTAACTCCTCACTGGAGGGTTTTTGTAAAGTTGCTTTCTAAAACCAGGTTGCGACTTAGATAATTGTTTCCCAATAATAATTTCATTTGGTCCGTTTGACATTAAGTTATCGTTCTGATCTGTCGACATTTGGTTACTTTTCTTGTCCACTTTAATCAATAATGCATGATTACTCGGCTCCATTGTCTGTTCAAAAAGTTTTTTGCGACTCATCGCTTCACGATAAGTTGGCGGATGGGATCTTTGAAGCTCGGTAATCTTGCTCAAACTAGGCGAAATCTCGGCGCGACTATCGGAGTTGATTTTACTAGTGTATCTTCCATCTTGCACAGCCGTGTCACTATGTGACCTCAAGACTGTGGGGCCTTGTGTTTTATCAATGTCAGTTTCACCACTGCTTCTTTGCTGCCGTGGCCGAGAGAAAGCAGATTTTGTAGCATGTGCAGGGAAAAACTCACCAGCGCGATCTGATGGATAAACCCTTTGAATATTTCCTCGTGAGGGAGTGCTGTTGTGTGAACGCCGCACATGGCTTTGGGTGGATTTTCCGTAATCTACACTATTTTTCGTACTAGATACAAGATCATAACTCATTTTTCTTTCATCAACTTTATAGTTTGTACTTTTACTTTGTAAGTCTGAAGCCCGTCGCACATTGCTCGTTGGAGCAATTTGTTCTGACGATTGTCTCCCGTATCTTGGCATGGGAAACGATTCTGAAAATGCGCTACCCCCACTGCGATTCTGCAAAAGGTTGAGCGACAGAGCTGTGGGTTTTGTTCCACTTCTGTTGCTTGAATTTTGTTGGTTTCTGTAGCGTGTAAAATTTGATTCATCGAACAATCGTGCACCATCAAGTTCTAAGTCACCTAAGGTGCGAATTACATCAGACGTAAAATCAAGTTCATGATCCGATTCACTCATGACGTACTGTGATGATTTGCTGTTCATTCGTAATTGTTTATCCTTTTTAACTGGATCCGACTGTCGACGGAATTGATCGGACAAATCCAGAGCCGTTGGATGTTTGGAATCGTACAAGCTGTCCCCGTCAAAAAGCTTAACTTGTGAGGCACTCATGCTATGTAGCAATGGCGGGCGCATTGATGTACTGCTACCGCTGTTATTGGAACCAATTTTTTCCCGAGCATCAACACCGGAGTCTGTAGTATCAGTTGTGTCCGATTCCGGGTATAACTGTGAATCGCTCAAAGTGAGTCCGGAGTCGCGACTCAGACTGGAAGGGGATAACAATGCAGAGTTTTTATGCTGACGAGTTCCAAAATTCTCTTGCATACAGTACTTGTCAAGACTATCCAATGATGATCCTATAAGGGAAAAGATTTATTAATTATAATTTCATAAAAAATTTTTTTTTCAATTTATCACAAGATTTGTAATTTACTATATGGCATGTCATTTAGTATTGATGTGCTAAATATCGTACATAAAGTGAATGTTGGGGTGCAAGTATGTGTGGGTAATGTTGCACTATCTTTAATGCATCGCACTTGTTCAACACATGTATCAGTTTAAACTACTGTGCACTTGAAAATTTGCTTATTTAGATCAAGAATCAAAGATACTTAAATACCCAACTGAAATTTGTTGGGTATATTTTAGCTTCACTTTGTGTTGTTGGAAAATCAACCATTCTTAAAATTACTGTTTCATAACTTGAGACTGATGAAATTTCTTTATCAATGACTGCTGATTGTAAGATTAGTGATTGAGTCTGATGATGGTATTTGTGAGGTGACGTGACAAAATGAGTGTTGTTGTATGCCAGATATTGTTGTATGCTTACCATTAATATCATGACCACTGTGTAGGCTGTCAGAATCTCCACTCGAGTCAAGCCGTCTCCCCTCCACTGACTTCCTCCTTGGAGTACTGCCGAACAAGTTGAATATTTCAGGGCCAAAGATCAGCTTAGCTTCTTCAATCATGTACTGTACCAACTTTGGAACCATCCTACTTGCTTGAGCCTATGGAACCACAGAAAAAATTATTTATTAATTATTAATTATTAGACCCTAATTCTTCCCTAAGTATAAAAGCTACCTTGGTGCAAAAAATGCTCATCTGAGATTTTCTAAAAAAAATTAGGAAAAACCTTCCCTTTCAAAAGGATGTCTACAACACACACAGTTATATATCTTTGTCTTGGCTTACACAACACTTAACTCTTTGATTACAATGATGTTTTAATTCAACGATTTTTGGTTTGGGAAGTGAATAAAGGTGTAGGACAGAAATAAAATGGCAAGCCAATATACAGTAGGAAGTGAATAGTAAAAACATGTTTTTTTTTCTTTAAATTGGAAATCAAAATCTTTAATTGTTCCAAAGAAACTTGCAAAAGCATACAGGTTGTATGTACCTTACTGTCTCCCAATAACAAAAAACACCAATCATTATATTAAATATTCTCATTTATCAACCATCATAATTAATATATAATTGCTAATATTATATTTAATATATTTTCATGTTTATGTACAGAAACCTAGATTGTTATATTATAAGTTGTGTATTGACACACAACAGAATGACAAAAGAAGAGAGAATGAATTTATAGTCTTTACCTGTACCATCGGGTTGGTAGTAGATGCTGGATTCAACATACTGGGGGCGATGCAGATCGCTAGGTTGTATGCCGTCATGCTGTTTTCATTTGAGTTTTCATTTATGAAATGCAGCACGCAGAACAAGTGCCTCAACAGCTCAACATTCTCGTCGGGTAACTGACCTAAACACCTGGTGAAGAAAATAATTTGAATGTTAATTGTTTTTTTTCTAATGATATTACAGTATACAATAATTAACTGCCCTGGGACAACAGAAATTATCATTAATTATCACATACAGAGTCCAAATAGTGGGTGCCTTACAAGAGACCAGCTCAGAAAGAAAAGTTTACAGAGAGCGACACTTACTTCTTAACGGCATCAATCTTCTCCTTGCCTTCTGACATGTTCACCGTGTTCATCCAATTATCATAGAGGTCATAGTTAAACACAAAACGTGGTATATTGCGTAAAAAATCCTATGGAAAAACCAAAGTGAGGTTGAGTAAGACAATTCAATGAGTATTTGAAGACGAATCAGGTTAAGAAAAATACATTTCATGAAAAGCTGTGTCAACACTATCACATTTCATGTGACAAAAAAAAAAGTTATAAAAAAGTGATATGCCCATATCTGGCTGTAACATCAACTTCCATCTTTTATTTTTCCAATAAGTGCAAATATTTATAAATGCAAATAAAGTACAAGAACCAATATAGGAAGGAGCTGGAAAATAACAACAATGAAATATGAAATCACATGGGCACATCACACAAATTTATCACATTAAATTTGATAGTTTGGACAAATCTTAATATTAATGTTCTCTTTAATTTAGGTCCATTGTGTCGAGAATGAGGTCAGGTTATGGTGTCAGACATCAGAGCATTGTCACTGCCTCTCAACAGGACATTCAACACACCATTAATCGATAATGATAACCTGTGATATCAGGAACAGGTACATTAGTGGAGAACTTGATCAAGATAAAAACGACATTTGCTGCGGTCGTTTTGCCCACCATACTAGGTCCTATTACGTTTAATTTCATTGGGTAATAAGTTTGTCGTATCAGGGTTTACTGTAACTGCCACAGTGCCACTTAACGTTGTTTGTACAGAGTTCACTTAAAACTACTTTAATTCATATTGCAAGACAATAGCAGGAAGCTTTCTGGAGAACAGTATTCGTCAGATGTAGATTTCAACGTGATACATATACATTTTAATTGAATTGTTTACCGTCACAATTAAAAAGTTTTATATACAAGTTATATAAAAATTATCTTTTACCTTTATGGTAGCAGCAACAACATATGTTGAATAAGCATCCATTGAACACTCTATTCCGGCATCTAACTTCTCTTTCAGTTCCCGACATACTCGTACATTTGGCGATTTTCTGAACACCCCCGTCGTAAATGGAGCGTTCTCATGTAGATGACTCAGCATATCTCTTACTGGTTTCGGAAGGCGTTTGTCAGGACAGAGTTGAGACAATGGAAGACCAAACAATCTAAAAGACATTGTAACACAATTAACCTGATAACCTGTATAATCAAAATCCTGGCATATTAAATGAAAATTCTCTTTCCTGTTGTTTCGATTAATTACGCATTTATAGTTAAGGTTAACTAAACATCTTCGTAATGGCATCCAGTACTTACTTTCCAGATGGCGAGGGCGATGATGCGTCGAACAAATCAGTTTTGCTGGATCCACGTCCGAATAATTTCAGGGGTGATTTCCTTTTAGTTTTTAATCTCTTATTTGAATTGTCTGAAGAGAAAATGGAAAAGATTAGCCAGAGATTTCATATGAGGAATGAGGAAGTATTAACAAACATTGGCACAAAATGGAAATTTGTTGATTACCACTTGATAGATGTATGGAAGGCCACGGAGGTCTTTTGGTGCATGAGAGGAGACCATTTTGATGAACATAAACTTATTTAAATAGTCAATGAAGATGATCTCAACAAAGTATAGTTGAACCACTAATTTGGGATACCCCTATTCTGGGGACACTTTTCTGCCAAATGAGGGGATGAACCACACTTGCCCACTTAAACCAATCACCTAAAGATGACTAAGTAATGAAAAACTGAAAAAAAAAAAAAAAAAAAAAAATTAAATAAAAAAAAAAAAATTGTAAAAATAATTAGGTTACAATAATAATAAAAAAAACTAGTAAAACAATATTTAAATAACACTTCATTTGAATTTGTTAAAAGAAAAAATACTTTTTTTAATAATAAAGTACACAAAATGAATTAGAATTTGTAAATTAACATTTAATAAAAAAAGATTACTACTCAAAGATACAAATTTTTTTCATCCATACCGATTCCTTGTGATGTATTTTGCGCCTTCTTCAAAACGAATTTACATTGGAATTCAGCTGGAACCGTATCCATCGTCAAATCTGTCGGTAGCACGTATATATCACTAGCTGCTGCTGCGTCCCGTAGATGACTAAGTACAATTGAAAACGGCAACTCGTGTCCTATAAGGGGGTAAAATGGATCATCCTTCCCGGTCATCACCCATAACTGGTAGTCCTTTAGCTGCGCAGATGCGATCCCGAACTCATTCAAACACGAACTGAGAACTTGCTCCGTACTCTCTGTATTCGTGATTTCAAATGTTTTCGACTGTAGAAGAAATCGTGGAAGGAATGAATGACACTCTGACCAATCGTGATGAAGGCTTTAAAGTAATCGGCTGATAAAAATGGGTTATGGAGCAAAAAATAGCAGAGGACTTAGAACCGGTCGTTAATAGCCTAACGCTGACGTCTTCCTACGCCTACTACTGTCTAGCTTTGACATTTCCAATTTTAGAATTGATGTTTTAGACGGATCTACAGACGTCATGGCGTTTAATTTTAAAATCTAATTCACAATCGGTCTAAAAATATTTTTTTGCCATTAAAAATAAAATCTAGATGTCAATTTCTCGGAAGTGATTTTATTCTCAGATGTGAATTTACTTTTACCATTTGGTCACATGACATTAGCTGAGGATTAAGATGTCAGGTTTATTCACCTATTAAGGGATTATTTTATAACATGATACCCACACAGGTCACCAACACTTCCCTCTAAATCAATTAAAAGTGCAAGGAAGTGGGAAATATATTTAGATGGATTGGATGTCTCTGTACAGTATATAATTTTTGTATAATTACTATTTAAACTCTGTCAAGCTTTCAAATTTTTCTTTGACAAAAATACGCATGCCCATATATAGACATGGTGTGCCTATATATGGCCATAATGTGATGTCATCAATGACCATATTTAGGCATGGCATATTGTTTGCACAGCGTATGAAAAAAATGACCATGATTGCTTTTTATTTGTTAGACTATTCTTACATTTTATTAATCAAATTATATTGCAATATATACTGTTTAATAAGATACTCAAAGACGTGTATCTAATTTTAGTGTTAGATAAAATTCAACACAAGTTCTGTATAGTTATCCTGAAAAATCCATCAAAATTTATTATTTCATTCACTATTTTTGAGCCCCTATTAACTAACAATGTGGAAATCAACTTTGCAATTTTGAATAAAGCGAAGTATCAACTCACCGAGCTTGTCTCTTTGCTCTGAATCTTCACTGGAATTCTTTTCGGCTCTTCTTTCTCCTTTTCCATTGTCATATGTCTGCAAAATAGTATGTCATAGTTTATAATAATCTTCTCATAATACATATTTGCAAATAATCTTTACAATAATAGCAGCACTCTTAAATTAACTAGTGATCCATTTCAAGAATAGATAGATAGATAGATAGATAGATAGATAGATAGATAGATAGATAGATATATAGATAGATAGATAGATACATACATAGACAGACAGATAGATATATAGATAGATAAATATATAGATAGATACATACATACATAGACAGTCAGACAGATAGATAGAGAGATACATAGACAGACAGATAGAGATAGATAGATAGACAGAGACAGACAGACAGATAGATAGATAGATAAATGAATTATAAACATATAGTTGTCTGAATCTGACAAAAGAAGAACATCCATCTTTGCACTAAATAATTAATCTAATAGACATTACTGATTTATTTTTGGAATATTTTAGGAACAAAAATTGGCCAATACACTTTTCACCTTTCCATTTATTAAATACTTTCACTTTTTAAGGAAAAAACACATTTTTAGTATCTCAACTTTAGGAATGTAAAATAAAATAAAATATAGATTATAAATCACTAAACGTGCTGTAATATGGTTCTTTTAACCAAATATATTAAATATTAAAAAAAACTCTTTAATTTAATTTAAAAGTACTAGATTTTAAATATTACATATACTATATGTTTTAAACAGTTTTGATCCATTAGGCGCTATATGAATATGGTTTATTAATATTATTAATAAGAATCTGAAAGTGTGATATTTACATACATAACCCACATTAAATTATTCTGTTCTTTTCAAATTTTCCTTAAATTTGCAATAAAGTCATTTGTATCTTTTAAACATCTGGTCCCTATTCGAGCACTGTTATTATTTATCTATTAGTTAATACATATATACATACATATGTGTGAATATATACATAATATATTTATGTTATACACAATATTATACATATATATATATATACGTTTATATACAGAACAATGAACGATTCTCTTTCATCATCACAATGATTATTGTTAAAATTAATAATAAAAATTATTAATTATTAGTCTTTATTATCAGTATACTATATATAAGTAACTAATTCATTATTTAATAACATAATCATACTTACTTGCTGAGTAAATTTTGCCATAATTCCTTCATTGCTATGGTTGAGAAAGTGAGCACGTAACTTGTGGTAGGCCAGCCAAGAACAAAAGACCTCTCCACAGGGTTAGACACTTCAGACACTTCGTCAATACACGTTGCTAGCCACAGCTCGCTCACACGCAACCGGGATTTCAATTTAAATGATGTACACGATTTACTGAAGTACAGGATAAAGACGAGCGTAAACACAAATTTCCTTAACAATTTGATGCATGTATTAAAATTCTGATATCATAACAAAGAATAAATTTGAATATATAAAAACACTGATTGCTACTACAGACCATGGATTGACAGAATATCAACCTACAACGTGGTGTCTACTGTTTATATGTTCAATGAACAGCCCACATAGACTGTTGGGAAATATTGTGGATATACGGTTTCCTGGTAACTATCCTAGCAACAGCATGGTACCGCCAATCGCTGCCAGTGTTCAAATTCAACAGCAGTAGAAAACATTAATTTCCTGCTTAACTGTGCTGCCACATTTCTTGGTTATTGGCAATGGATATAACATCATAACCAAATTACATAATACTTCACCACACATAGATTAGTGTTAGATCAAAAAAAAAAAAATTAATAAATAAATAAACCTTTCATTAGCCCAGATTCTTAATTTCATAAGACAAAATGCACATAAAAAAAATCATACGGATAGCCACATCCTCATAAAAACAGTGAGTATGTGTGTTTAGGTCAAGGTATAGATTAACAGTATTGTTATCATTTTGGTTTAAAGATGATAGAAAGAATGTTATCCATCTTTAAAAAAAAAAAAAAACATGATTTTTTTTTTATTTGGCCTCAACAAATGATTTTTTTAAAATTATTTAAAGCTAGAATTATATATGGAAATGCTTATAAACTTATACATGTGTTTTTAACACGTTAAAATAACAAAAATCTTATTTGGACATATTAATTAAAGACTTGATTGAAAGTAAACAGGTTTAGAACTCATTAAAAACAATTTAAATATAACTTCAGAAAAATTAATATATATTGCTTTACTTTTACAGGTAGTAAATATTCAAAAATAGGATGGAAATGTCAAAAAATTAAAATCAAATTAATTTAATTACTTTCCTTACAATCAGGAAATATCAGGAAAGGATATACATGATGTTTATTAGTTTTATATTACAAACATAATTACAAAAAAATCATGTAAAAAATACGAACTTCCTGGTTTATCAACATCTTTAAAACTCATCATATACAAATTATACATATTATCTTCGTAATTGATGTTCATGTAGTTTGTCACGTCACGTCTTAAATTCATTAGGACAAAAAAATAAAATCTTAGGAAAAAAAAAAATCCTTGACGATGATGTTTTACTACACAATACTTGCTTGTTGACAAGAATATTTCCAATTAGTAATCACATAACACACGTTTGTCTAAAATACATCATACAGTACATGTTCTTGGACAGTAATCAGCGTGCTATGTTTGGAATATTAACAGCCAAAGCATTCTGAATTTAGAATTCCCGACTTGCGATGACGCACATGGCTTAACTTTTGAAATTAACGTTGAGCTAGCATACAACAGAATTAGTTCAACCCTACTTAAAAGAATCAAGCCGAAAATAACTACACAAAATTTTTTTAAACACAATCGGTCACCACTAAATAAATAAATAAAAATATAAATAAATCTTTCGGTGTTAAGAATAAATAAAGAATGACAATAATCATAAATATATAATATAAATGATAAAAAAAATATACAAATTGAAAACCCCAAATAGTGATGTCAGTGATTACAGTATAAACAAATTTTTATCAAAATAATACTTATTATTTCACTTTATGAAACTTACTTGGGTTTTGCTACTAGGAGAAGATCACTAAACAGAAACAAGTATCTTTCCTGTGATTGTACTCCCGACGTTAACGTCACAGCAACTTCTGAGATAAATTCTCTGTTATTGTTAGAATATGGATGACCCGTGTCGTTTGCCAGGCTCGACAGTTCAGGGAACACAGGCGGACTTGTAGGGCTACATAGAAAGAAATGAAATCGCAAAAATTATTGTAAAAAATCATCTGATTGGCTGAACAAATAAACAGTCTCCATGGAATAAAAATGATCACATAAATGCTATGCCATTAATGATTTAAGTTATTAAGCATTCAATTATTTTATCATACCATATTTGGAAAAGTGGTTTTATTAACTAATACACTAATAGATATTCTGTTAAGAAATTTTGCTGGATAGGGAACTAAATCAATAACGCTAATAATAGAACGGAACCTAATTGAAGCGTGAAGCACGTGTGACTGACTGGAAATGATGCCCAAAAGCGCATTCCTACACAAATCTGGACAGAATTTAATATAGATGAGATTTGAGGAGTGACTAGTGTAACATGAGTAAAGCTGGCCAGCTCCATATCACATCTTTTCTATATTGTCACCTGCAAGAACACAAAAGTGCCTAATTGTTACTGTACATTCTAACCAAAATCACATGTAGAAAAGAAAAATCATTTTGGAATAAAATAGACACAGCATGATAACAGAGTATTTTTGAAACAGGTTTGTGCCTGACTTGGGTAAATGAAGATGCAAAATACTGAATGATGAAACTTAATTTGATGTCAGATTCTACATTCTTCTCTTATGAAAAAGATTTTAACAAAAAAAAAGTAGTAACATGCAAGAGATGACCATAAAAGATGGAGATAAGAGATGACCTTCAATGTACTTTCTAATATACACCATGGAACCTCTAAAAATGTAAATGGATGTACTGTATAAAAAAGAAAATGTACATCTAAAGAAGATAAATTCAAAATTTAGTTTTGGCCCAGATGTGATCTCAATAACATTTGTCTACTTATCTTACACATTGTTTTGAAAATAACACAATGTTTATCAATATGAACAAGGCTGTAAACATGGTTATGGTATTTTAAGATTGTTTCTCCTTTTTCAAGGGCTAGGCACCATATATCACCAAGAGCTTTCATCAAGGAAGGACCAAGGGCCTGACACCCTGGGGTAATTATAAAGTTACTGTTGATATACAGGGCCGGAAAAATGAGAGCATGGGTCTCGTTAATTGAACTAAAAAGGTTACAAATTATCAGGACACCTCTGGTACAGTAATCGTCATCGGTGTAAGATGGAATTAAAAATGACATAATAAATCCCAACACCACATTCTTTTTTAATGCCTCATGACCGTATAAACGAATTTCCTGAAATACACTCACAAGTGTGGTTTCTACAACGGAAGCAGGGATTCATATGTAATAAAAATTGACAAAAAAATAAACAATTTCACTACTTAAATAAGATTACTGATGGTAAATTCTCTACCACAATTTCGCATCACACGTACAGTTTTAATTTGTGATTGAGTACGCTGATTGGAATAACTAATCTAAGTACTGATTAACGATAAATCCTGCTCCAGGATGTAGGCCGTGCATGCTGTAGTCACCAGGGAGATATTGTACCAACTGCCTAGGAAGGAGTGCTATTCCATGTAAGGACTTTATTAAACTAGAAGAATATAAAATCTAGATCAAATTGATCAAAAAATAGCTTCAGTTTTAAAAGGTACAGAGAGGCAAACTGCCAAAGTAGCCCAGATGCAACTGCAATCAACCATTTTATGGCACCCTTATTAAAGAGAATTTGTCTCCCTTGACTAATCATCGTTACCATGACACCATAGTTTGAGGTCAGGGGTTAGGTTAAGTTCTCCCATTAGCTGTATAGGCCTTCAGATTATAAACACTAGGTTTTTGTCTGACCTTCCACAGATTGGTTTCAAAGGAGTGGCCACCAAGATTAAAAGAATAAAGCATCTGCTTGAGCTTCTTCAGACAGAAAATATTTAAATTAAAGCATAATATTAAACAAATTTCAATCAGTTAAATACAATTAATAAATCTATTAATAAATTTAAAATAATTTTTGATGTCGATAAATACTATAAAAAAATATAACATATAATAAATTACTAGGCTAACAATATTAACAAAATATAATAATATAAGTTGACTTTTAATCTTACTTGTAAATATTATCATTATCCTCATTAATATTATATCATTGTCATATAATCATAATTTTTGTATTGTAAATTTTGATGGAATGTTTTTTTATATTGCTTTAAATAATTTGAGAGTGAAATGAAATCACCATTTTTAGCATCATTATCTTTCACTAAATCTACAACATTTTTTTGTCAACCAAGATTTTTTAATTTAATTTTTTTTCTACACTAACTATGATATAAGAATATACTGTACTTAGTACATCAACAATAACGTAATGGAAAGAAATCTACAAACATCGACAGAAGAGAAAAAAAGAAATCCAGTCCAGACAATGAATATGATTGTGATGTGTATAGTATCATGGAAAGTTCAAATGTTGAATTATGAGTATACAATGGGTCTACTTTACTACTACATGTACTTATTACAGTAGTATATTGAAGATAATGTTGAAGGTTCCAAGACCAGGATATTGTCACTGGTTTTTTTTTATCACGCAAGTTCATTCAGACAGAACTGAAAGACTATAGTGCGCTGCAACTAAACATGTACGAAGAAATTCTGAGGTTTTTCTGCTTGAAAGTAAATAGTAACGCTTGTCTGATGGTGACAGACAAGTGATGTATTCACACTCGTAAACGTTCATACCACTGGTATGCTTGGCTGCAATTAATTGAACTAATTTCTGTACCCAAGCGAAACAACAGAGGCATGCCTTGAAACAAAAGTCAAATTGTTGCGGCATGCAGGGGTGAGTCATTCGATTACAGAGTCACATTCTGGTAACTGTTACATTTATTTGTATTTTCATCTAGAGACTTGTTAAATTCCAACACGAGCTGGAAAACTTGTGGTATGGATGGACAGAGAAAGCTATTCGGTAAAACAAGCCTGGTTTCTTTTGTAATATTTTGACCTAAGTTGATGATATGATGCCTCAGACACCCCCTCCGACCCCTTTAGAATGCTCAAGGAAGGAGGTATTGATGACAAGAAAATGGTGATGACAACAGGTGATAGAAAAAAAAATGATATAGCATAAATACATGACAAGAATTAATGAAGATTTATTGATGATTGATGATGATGATGATGATAGTGATGAAGCTAATGATCATGTTGATCATTATAACAATAATTTTGACAATGATGATGATGATTTAAGTGTCGCAAATGATTAACTTGATGAAGATGATCATATTGATCGTGATTATAACAATAATTTTGACAATGATTATGATGATGATGATTTAAGGGTCCCAAATGATCAGCTTCTGCTGGATGGTCCTCTCTCATTTATGGTTCAAATAAAATTAAAATAAATGACGATGATGTTTAAGGATGTATATGACCAACATAAATAGTATTAACATATAAAAATGCCAAAAATGTATTTGTTATGAATCTAGTCATACTTTTGATAAATTGCATAAATTCAATGTACCTACCTTTTATCCACATTCTTATTCCTATTATTGAAAGCATTGCGGATAACCGCAGAAGGCGCTGACCTCCGGCGCATTACCAAACCTTTGAACTTCTATAAGACAAAAAAAAGTAAAATTAAAAATTTCTGCACTTTGATGTTAATTTCTGCACTTCGATGTTGGCCAAGAGATGATTTAGGATTCATTTCATTGCCATGTTGGTGGAGGAATTTTGATTGTATTAATAGTACTCAAGAATATTTACTAATAGTGCTTCAAAAACGCAGACATATACATTTGCAATCGTCTGCCAACCATCCGTAAGATTATTTTATTCTATCTGAAAGATGTATACTTGTGTCCGTGGGGGCCGGCAATTTCCTCTGCCTCCTTTACGAGTTTCAGGAATTTTACTTTTAGGAAACTTGAGCCGTGTTTAATTGGAAATCGCATCTTGAAAAATGCCCTAATGGTTGTGCCGAAACATATCAAAGGGACAACCCCCTACCTAACCAAAGCTGGTGCTTAAACTGTCAATGTGTATTGGCATTAATTGCAGGCAGGAATAGCTTACAGTCTGCATCTGTTGATAGATTTTCTTAACGAGTTTGTTGACATATTAATTTTAGTAGTTAAAACCAAAAATAACCTAATGTAATTTCTCATAAAATTACATTACAAAACCTAAAATGCATTCAAAATCTTGAACAAATTTTATAATTGCTATTTTTGCTAACTTAACAAGTACACACCTTAATATTGAAAACTTCAAAACTTAATATTTGTAAACTACTGTAATTAAATTTTATTATAAATCATAAGTAACTTCTTAAAAACTGATGTGAAAGTTTTGGAATATTTATTTGAGTCCCAAGTAATTGAAATTTTAACATTTGTATCTGATTTCAATGTAGTTAATAATTAAATAAATATTAAAATATAATTTAAAATAAGTTAGGCAACATAAAAAAAATTATTAGTTTATCTCCCTCATCACTTTTTTGGGAAAAATCTGATTTTTTTTTTTCAATCAACATATATTTTTATTTCAAATGGTCCTTTTTCCATCTTTTTTCACTTGAAAAGCTCAGGGTTTCTTGCAAATATGTTTACTGGTACAACACAACATTTTTAAAATATAAATTTGATTCCACTCTGACTTTTTATATATGTGTCTCTAACCATTGATTTACTTGTGATCATTGGTAAAATGGGGGCGGGATTAGCAAAAAAAAAAAAAAAACAAAACAAAACAAAACAAAAAACCTCCCTCCATCATCAGTTATTCTTTGATAGGGTGATATTGATAAACTAATAACTTTTTTTTATGAGGCCTTAGTAACCTGTTTATGATAATGCGTTATGGTAACTAATAAATATTGGTATCAGAAAAATAAGTGATTTGGTGCTACGATAATTTTATCCATTTTTAAACTTTTTAATCACAAAGGAAATTTGTTGATATTATTACAAAGTGACAAACTCATGTTGATAGAAATTGTGCTAAATAAAGTGAAGGCCCACACATCAAGTATTTACTTTAGTTTAATAGCAATCCAAAAACTATTAATTGTGATAATTAAATTATATTCCATGTTGGAAGAATTTAAATAATGTTGATTTTTTGGTTATTTGTTTGCAAAATTTCCTGATGAAATACCAGATTTTTGGTAGAAAAACAGTGAAAAAGACAGGACCAGACTGGCTGGCAACATAGGTTTTAAACTGTCACTGATTTTAACAATCACTTCATAGTCACCCATTGATTGTTAACTACAAAAGCGAAAGGTATGCAAAAAACACAGCAAGACAAGTCACATAATGCAAACCTAAAAAAATAATGGAGTATTGATAAAGATCTTATAAAAAGTAGAACACTCCATCACTTTGTCATAAGGGATATAAACAAGATAACATTAAAATTAAGGTTTTTATTAAGCTTTGCGTGTAACCACAATATTTACTCTAACTCAATGTCGTTTTATTCTTAGGAATGTTAGATTAGATCTGACCTTGAAATGTAAATCATTGTTTTTCAAAATATTGAGATAATAATATCAGGCTGAGGAGAAAACTAGGATAACATTTGATCTACATGCATGTACAGCCAAATTAAAAAAAAAAACCAAAAAAACCAAAAAAAAAAACAAGTTTCCTTTTCATTTTCATCATTCTTTTCTGGAACCATCCTGACTATAAAACGAAGACACAGAGACCCTGAAGCTACTAATTTTTGATTGATAGATTTTACAATTTGTAGTAATAATTTAATTTTAAATTTAAATCAAAGAATTTTATATAACAGTTACGAGTACAATATGATACCATGTCCAGATCTCTAGAATAAATATACTGTAGGATGTAATACGACCACTCTTTCACCTGCCACACAAAATGGACTAATTAAGGGTTAATGAACTCTGTATTCGAATGTAATGAATTTTATCCGCACAATTAAGCATAGAGAACCACACAAAACATCTCCCACTACACCACCGATGGCCAGATAATTAAACTTTTTAATTATCTACGGTGGAGTAAACATTCGCGAAGTCACTTTCCCTCTTTTTATCTTAAAGCAAGTCTACCACAAAGTGTTATGTGCAGTTAAGGGTATGATTTGATATAATGTGGACCTTTAGACTGGTATAAGCAGACTCCGCTAACATCGAGTGGAGGATTAACGTCTACATTCAATACTGTGCCTTCCTCTTATCCTGGTCGTATTTGCATTTTTTACACACAAGCATGGCCTCCATAAAAAAATCACTTTGTATATGATTTATGGTACTGTCCTAATGAAATTTCTACCAATTTAATAGGAAAAAAAACCCTAAATTACATTTCATAAATATGTGCGATTCTAAATTTATAATTTGTAGATTAAGAGATTATGGTTCGCTTTGGTAAGTACTGTACAGTTAACATTTTTTTTCTTTAACTTTTCAATATGTCTGCCATTCTTTGGTGTAGTACAATAGTATTAAAGTTGCTTTAAAGCTACATAATTTTGAACATAGGGGAAAATAATTATATTTATGTTGTTATGCATGATTAAAAGTATCCATAAATTAAAGCACAGTACTGGAAGGAGATGTGTGATGATGAATATTCGAAAACATGAGTGAAATTTCGAAAAGGTTTGAGTTCCTGATGGATTTATACATAAAAGACGAATATTAAGAGAGTACAGTACATGGAATGAATACATTTTAACAGGTAAATACTTGGTACATTATGTAAAGAATGATGTACTGTATTGGCAATGACTGTTCTTTGGCGTTAAATTATTCCATCCCAAGTCAGCCTCATAAAACTCAATCCACTTAAAAGGTACAGGGCTGTCCAATGAGGAACTTGCCAAAAGATCCTCAAATTTCTCATCTCTAGCCTCTAATATTTCAAAGTCAACCATAAATCTTATGACACAGAGAAAAGGTTGGTTGGGCCAATGACCAGAAAAAAATTCACTGACTCATGACTGGTAATATTAAAGTAGTATCCCTGTTGAATGCAAAAATACATTGGGATGGTTGTAGTAATACTCAATTAATTAGTTAATCCCAGTATGAGGAAATAAAAATATAAGGTTTACTGGGGATTTTATTTCCTTCCGTAAATTCAATCGGTCAATTATATATATTATAAAATTTTAAATAGATATATAGTATTCTTGTTTTAAAGCAAAGATACATTGGGTTGTAGTAATTCTCAATTATTTAAAAAAATATATATAAATGTTTGTTGAAGGTTTTATTTCCTTCTGTAAATTTAATGTGTCAATTTTATTAAGTAAAAATTAAAATAAATATCTAAAATACATTTTAAATTATATGAATTCAGGTTTTGGAAATAAATATTTCTGCATTCTGTGAATTTAGTAATCATGCTATAAAATCCCACTCACAAGAATGCAGGGCACGCTAAAGTATAGTAAAACGATAAATACACACACCCATATATATAAGATGTGTATAAGAGACAGGTGCAACCGTTGTCACAAGCCAAATTACCGGCAAGACTCCGAAAGACATTTTAAACAAACGAATTCGAAGGTCAATGACGATTCCGCTAAACAATACTTACAATTTTGTGGGCCTTTATAATGTTCTTTAGTCGAATTATGTTTACTTTATATAAATACTGTATAATATAATGTAAACATAAATATTAACAATTAAGTTGTAACTAAACACAGCTTGAAAAATATTTCAACTTTGACAAAATAAAAAACATCTTTAACTTCTGTTAGGAATTATTAACTACATTATTGCATATTTTATCAAAAGCCATTCCGTACAGCAACATTACAAGTTGTATTTTACTACAGTACAACACAATTATGTATAAAATACACAAACATTTTTGAATATAAAACTTTTCAAGGACTGCAATCTCATTGATAAAAGGTATAAATCTCTTTTATACTTTCATGGCCAAATACATATACATCAATGATTTGTGGTCCATACATACCACAAATTGTTAATAAATAACTTAAAGAGAAGTATGAACAAAATTCTCTCATATTAAAAACAACTGTACTGGTTGAAAATAGTAATGATATGTGTATGTTAGTCCCACTGTTTAGAAAAAGGCTATGTATGTATATACCAATATATCTAGCCTGCAACAACACACACATATAATATATACTGTATGTTATGATCTGTATGTTATGAACATAACACATACATTTCTTTAATAAACAAACAGAAATACATTCACTTTAGTCTAAGATTGGCTAGTTACTTTCTATTATATTTTGTGTGGTTTTAATGTTTAAATAGGGTATATTAAGATCTATAATAACATTAATTAATAAGGTTTTTTTTATCAATTAACAAATTACATGAATAAATGCAAGGAATTATGAAAATTAACACAACTTAAAACTGGTAGGAAGATGGTAACTCCCTATCTCTATAGAGTTTCCTTTATCTCTCTATGGAATCTCAGAAAGCCTACCTTATTAATATCAGCATGCTTGTTAATCCTAGTGTTTGTAAATGAATCAGATTCGCTGATTCTCCGGAGCAACGTCTTACTCTCCTTATTCAGCATAACAGCAATCATTATCCTCACTGTTGTGCGATAAAACTATCCACACTCA